AAATTATAATAGCCACTGTGAAAGATACTTTCATATAATGCTAATGGGAATAAATCAATTGATTCAATCTTCTTGGAAGGTATTTTGCAAAGTATTAAATACCTTAGAAATGTATCTATACTTTGACCTAGCAATTCTAATTCTGAGAATACTAAGGAAATGATAAAATTATATTTCAATTAAAAATACTTTAAAAAAATAAGCTAGGCCAGGCGCAGTGGCTCATGCCTGTAATCCCAGCACTTTGGGAGGCCTAGGCAGGTGGATCACGAAGTCAAGAGATCGAGACCATCCTGGTCAACATGGTGAAACCCCGTCTCTACTAAAAATACAAAAAATTAGCTGGGCATGGTGGTGCGTGCCTGTAATCCCAGCTACTCAGGAGGCTGAGGCAGGAGAATTGCCTGAACCCAGGAGGGGGAGGTTGCGGTGAGCCGAGATCGCGCCATTGCACTCCAGCCTCACAACAAAGCAATAATTATATAACTCACTGCAGCCTCAAACTCCTGGGCCAAGGGATCCTTCTGCCTCAGCCTGCAAGTAGCTGAGACTACAGACAATTGCTATTTAGGTAAAAAATGGTCAGATATATGGTTCAATCTAATGTTTGACTTAATCAACAAAATAATATTGTATTCCATAAAACAAAATACTAGGTGGTTATTTTAAGTGATGTAAAGAATTTATTATTTTCAAAATATACTCACAACATGGAAGAAAGTAGAATGTACAGTTGACTGTACAGTATAATCCCAATATTATTCTTATGTGCTTGTTTTAAAATTGTATAAATACTTAGAAAAATGCTGGTAGGTAACAGGAGTGTAACTCTGCCTCAAAAAAAAAAGAAAGAAAAATGCTGGTAGGATAGTAACTATTCAATGGTAGTATTAGGGATAGCATTTGTTTTCATTTTGCTTGTCTTTTTCTTTAATAAGTATACATTACTTGTAAAATAGATGAAGTAGGCCAGGCACAGTGGCTCACGCCCCTAATCCCAGCACTTGGGGAGGCCAAGGCCAACGGATCACCTGAAGTCAAGAGTTTGAGACCACCCTGGCCAACATGGTGAAACCTCAACTCTACTAAGAACACAAAAAATTAAAACCAGGCACAGTCGCTCATGCCTGTAATCCCAGTACTTTAGGAGGCCAAAATGGGTGGATCACTTGAGGTCAGGAGTTCAAGACTAGCCTGGCCAATATGGCAAAACCCCATTTCTACTAAAAATACAAAAAATTATCCAGGAATTGCTTGAACCCAGGAGGCAGAGGTTGCAGTGAGCTCAGATCATGCAATGACACTCCAGCCTGGGCGACAGAGCAAGACTTACACACACACACACACACACACACACTCACACAACACAAAAGAAGTAAAGCAGGTGGAAGGGTAGCCATGGTATTTAAGAAAGAGCATTGGAGGTGTTTGTTTGTTTTTAAGTGACAGAAAAAAATTACCTCCTTTTCCACAAAGACCTCAGAAGTTAAGTGGCAGAGGTGAGAGTCCAACCCAGGCTGGAAAAGGAGGATAGTAATACATATATCAAAAAGTTTAGGCCGGGCGCGGTGGCTCAAGCCTGTAATCCCAGCACTTTGGGAGGCCGAGGCGGGTGGATCACGAAGTCAAGAGATCAAGACCATCCTGGTCAACATGGTGAAACCCCATCTCTACTAAAAATACAAAAAATTAGCTGCACATGGTGGCACGTGCCTGTAATCCCAGCTACTCAGGAGGCTGAGGCAGGAGAATTGCCTGAACCCAGGAGGCGGAGGTTGCGGTGAGCAGAGATCGCACCATTGCACTCCAGCCTGGGTAAAAAGAGCAAAACTCCGTCTCAAAAAAAAAAAAAAAAGAAAAAGTTTAGGTGAGATATTAAAAAGACAATAAATAGCTAAGACATCTGCAACCATAAAATGCATAAAGAAGTCATTCTTTTTCTGCCAAGGAGGCAACAATTAATCTTACAGAGGTCTGGAGCTCTAAGACAGCAACATACCAGAGACCACACAGACCTGGGCCCTCTCAAAATATCTATGTCTCAAATTAAAGGAGAGTAGTGGCCAGGCGTGGTGGTACCGGTAATCCCAGCACTTTTGGGAGGCTGAGTCAAGTTGATTACTTGAGCTTTGCTATGTTGGCCAGGAGTTTGAGACCAGCCTGGCCAACATAGCAAAGTTCTGTCTCTACTAAAAATACAAAACATTAGGTGGGCATGATGGCGCATGCCTGTCATCCCAGCTACTCAGGAGGTTGAGGTGGGAGAATCTCTTGAGCCCGGGAGGCATAGGTTGCAGTGAATTGAGATTTCGCCACTGCCTGGATGACAGAGCCAGACCCCATCTCAAAAAACAAAATAAATACATAAATAAAGGAGAGTAGCATTCTTACCCTTTGATGGCCCATTCTTCTAACTGTGCTGGGTGGCATCCCTGAAGAGGATTCTCTAAGCAGTGTCCAGGTAACCCACTCTTCCCAGAAGTCCCCAGCCACATCATTGAGGGTCATCAGTTCCTAAAGCAAGAGAGCTCAATATGCATCAGTAGCTCCCTATTCTCACCACCGTCTGAAAGCCAAAAAATGGCCACCAGTGTACAGAAACAACCCCCACTGCTGACCAGAATTGTCCTGAGGTAAATTCTGTCAACCACAGAGGGTTGCTTTTATGTCTGGTTTTTTTTTTTTTTTTTTTTGAGACGGAGTTTCGCTCTTGTTTCCCAGGCTGGAGTGCAATGGCGTGATCTCTGCTCACCGCAACCTCTGCCTCCTGGGTTCAGGCAATTCTCCTGCCTCAGCCTCCCGAGTAGCTGGGATTACAGGCACGCGCCACCATGCCCAGCTAATTTTTTGTATTTTCTGTAGAGACGGGGTTTCACCATGTTGACCAAGATGGTCTCGATCTCTCGACCTCGTGATCCACCCGTCTCGGCCTCCCAAAGTGCTGGGATTACAGGCTTGAGCCACCGCGCCCGGCCCTTATGTCTGTTTTTACATACGTCTTCTCCTGGCCAACTTTCCCATTACTAAGAGAGACCTAGGCCTCCCAAACACATAGACAGAAGCTAGTCTTTTAGATACATTAACTTTTTGAGGAACAAACTGTCCACAATGAACAAGGTAAACTAAGGAGAGAATTGGCAGGTATAATTTGATTTCTGGAGAGCTTTTGATTCTCTCCTGCTACATTTTCCTCAGCAAGCTAGGAAGTCGCGGACTTAACTATACTCATATTAGTTATGAGAATAGCTCACTTCTGGGCTTGCAGATCTGGGGACAACCTCAAGGGACAGATTATGCAGAACTCCAAAGGAAACTGTGTTGGATGCCATTCTATTTTAAGATTTTAATGGAGTCAGAAATAAGACTGAAAAAGATACGGAATTTAAAAAAAATAGACATGGATAGGTTGTAAAAATAAGTGAAAGTCAATGGGGATAAGCACAAAACACAACTCTTAGGAGCCGAAACCAACCATTCATATATTAATAAGCTGACAGTATCACAAAAAAGTTACTTTTTGGAGGATTGTCAGTCGTTTACTGGATGGATCAGTCATTTATTCAGCAATCAATATGTTGCTAGGCATAGGAGCCACAAAGAAATTAAGATCATGTTTTTTTCCTTTAAAAAGTTTCTAATACACCAGCCTCAGCACATAATGAGACCTTTTTCTCTACAAAGAACTTTGAAAAATCAGCCAGGTGTGGTGGCATGCAATTGTGGTCCCAGCTACTCAGGAGGCTGAGGTGGGAGGATCACTTGAGCCCAGGAGTTCAAGCAAGGCTGCAGTGAGCCTAGTAACAGAGTGAACCTTTGTCTCTTCATTAAAAACAAAAAACAGCCAGCATGACCACCTGCTACAAAGAATATTGCATTTCAGAGGAGGAAGGACCAGAATGGAGTGAAGAAGTTTTACTCTTTCACATCTTTTGTCCCACCACAAACAAAGCACCTATTTACCACAAACAAAGCACCACACACACACACACACACACACACACACACACACACACTTTCAGGGGAAATATTTATGTATTTACAGACATTATTATTGGTCAGGTCATTTATAAAGTATTGAGTTTTTAAGGATCTAAAAACCATCTCTCTGGTTTAAAACTTTAACAGTAATGTAATTCAAAAGTAGAAATTGTAATAAGAGTTTTGAGTAATGACCGGGAGCAATGGCTCACACTTGTAATCCGGCACTTTGGGAGGCCGAGGCAGGAGGATCATGAGGTCAAGAGTTTGAGATCAACCGAAATCCGGTCTCTACTAAAAACACAAAAATTAAGCGGGTGTGGTAGCACGTGTCTGTAATCCCAGCTACTCAGGAGACTGAGAGCAAGAGAATCGCTTGAACCTGGGAGGCAGAGGTTGCAGAGAGCCGAGATCGGGCCACTGCACTCTAGCCTGGGCGACAGAGCAAGACCCCATCTCGAAAACAAAACAAAACAGTTGTGAGTATAATATTTATTTCTATATTCATGACCAAACACAGCCGAAAGCTGCTCACTTGCGGGAGCAGCGCCACGGGAAGACTTCTGAGCCTCGGTCATAGCAGCCCTATTTCCCTGCCCGTCCCCTTCCCCATGCACAGGTGACCCCAAAGGCCCCCAGCGCTGAGGGGCTGTGACTAAGCGCCGTTGTGAGAAGGTGCAGCGCGTACACGGGGTTTATTAATAGGAACGTGACCGCACGCGTGGGGCCGTCGCCCTTTTTCTCGGTGCTGAGACCCGAACCCGGGTGCTTCGGTTAGAGGGTCACAAAGGTCAGCTGAAACCCGGGACCACTGCCGAGAAGCCAGGAAGCCAACGGAGAGTGACTTAACCCAACGATGGGAAAGAGACCGGGGCTACCTCTCCCGCACCCCAGCAAGACCCGGGGTCTCCCAAAGGCCAGGGCGGGAACCCCGCTGAGAAAACGTCGGGGTGGCAGGTAAGCCCCCTCCACGCCCCTCAGCAGCACGCCGCGGCCGCCGCCGTCTCCCTCCCGGGATCACTCACCGCCCCAGGGCCCAGCCAGGGATGGAGCAGGAAGTGAGGCCTCCACCGCCGAGCAGCACCCGGCCCGCCACCCCGAGGCAGTCCCTCCCAGAACCCGACGGGGATTCGTGACAGGGCTGTGGGGACACAGGTGAGACTCCGGAACATACTGCCCCTGTCCTCTTGCTATTGGCTGTTCAGTTTCCATGACTAGAATTCTTCTCTGTCCATAGGCTGACAGAGCTGTCAATTGCCGCCGAGTCTTCTGGGAAACATAGTCCTGAGCAAGACCTCAAAGGACTCGCAGCCGTGGATGCACAGTTCGAAGCGTTGACAAGTACTAAACCCAATTCTCGAGCTACCGGCCCCAGGAACCTGTTTGTTGCGGAGGGATCTAAATGTTGTTCCCCCAGTGTGGGATCTGCAGATGCGGATCTTCTGGCCTCCCACGCCTACCTCTGAGCAGCCTTGTGCCCACAGCGAGGTCTCCTGCCCTCTGGCACATCGCCCCTCCCCAGCACGGAGCAGCTCAGCCCTTTGGCCTCTGCGGCCTCTCTTCTGCCCACCCTTCCACCCCATCTCGGCGGCCGGAGCCTGCTGGGTGTTTGCGCGGCGAGGTCCCAGGCCAACTCTAACTGGACATAAGAAGGGTCCAGCAGAAGCCCTGAGTAGAAAACAGACGTTCCGCATCCTTCCCTTGGCATCAAACTCCCAGGACGTCCCCTTCTGTCTGGTTGGTAGCCAGAGGAGGCGGGCGAGGCCCCAAGTATTCTGGGAAATGTGCTATTGGGCTGTAAACTGGGAGCTCCTGGGTCTCCTGTGAGAGCCAGAGGTCACTTTGGGCTGGCCCCTAGCTAAAAAATAGTAACGCCTTTCCTTAAAGTGAAGAAAATGTGCCTGTCTACTCTGTTGATTCAGTGAAATTTAGAAAAAGAAAAGAACATTTTGTGATGGATTATAAAACGCTTAGAATTACCAGCCATAGGGCTAACGTGGAAGATACGTTTGATGTCAATTCTACCATTCCTTCAACACACATAGGGTGCATTTTCCAATGGATATTTATTGGGAACTTTCTATACTCAAGATCGTTCTGGGAACTGTGGTTACTCGGGAATCGTATATAACCACTGCCTTCATGAAGCTCACAGCCCAAAAGGGGAGATAAACCACAAAAGGTATCAAAATCCCAAGTAATATCTTGTCTTTTCTTTTTTTCCGAAGAACTGGGAGCACAAAAACCAAATTTTTTTTTTAAGACAGGGTTTCACCAAAATTGGTCAGGCTGGTCTCGAACTCCTGACCTCAGGTGATCCACCCGCCTCAGCCTCCCAAAGTGTTGGGATTACAGGTGTGAGCCACCGCACCCGGCCAAATGTTTGGGTTTTTAAACCAATACATTTTGGGGTAATTTGTTCCGGAATAGTTCTGTTCCAGTATAGCCAGTGGGATCTTAGTTATTTGGCTATAGAACTGTAGTCATCGGCCTGGCGCGGTGGCTTACGCCTGTAATCCCAACACTTTGGGAGGCCGAGGCGGGTGGATCATGAGGTCAAGAGATGGAGACCATCTTGGTCAACATGGTGAGACCCCCGTCTCTACTAAAAATACAAAAAATTAGCTGGGCATGGTGGCGCGTGCCTGTAATCCAGCTGCTCCGGAGGCTGAGGCAGGAGAATTGCCTGAACCCAGGAGGCGGAGGTTGCGGTGAGCCGAGATCGCGCCATTGCACTCCAGCCTGGGTAACAAGAGCGAAACTCCGTCTCAAAAAAAAAAAAAAAAAGAACTTTAGTCATCTGCAAGATAACCACACAGCATTTCGAAAAACTCTGTCCACTATGAACAAATGTCTGGTTAGCAGAGGTAGTTAGATGTAGTTAGATTTAGATGAAAATGAGGAAAGTGGAAATCTCAGAGGAGCTCAGGAAACCTTGGGATTGCCAGGACTCCCGTGACTGGAACACAGTTCAGGACCTGCAGAACTGAAGGCATCTTCAGGCCCCTCGGTAAGTCTTTCTGGCATTTTGCCATCAGGGAAATCATGAAGATGACTCTTCAATCTGGGATTGGGGGTTGGGGGTGGTGGGGTGTTGGTGGGGGGTGGCGGTGGTGATGAATGGAGTCACAGAATCTCGCTGGTGGTTATTCCCTGCCGCTCTCTCCAGCTTCTGTTCCTTCTGCCTCACCTTGTTCTCTCAGCAGTTTCTTCACCATGATCAGGTGTGTGGGGAGCAGGGAAGGAAGCTTGGTCTTATGACAAGAGCGGTCAATACAGGAAACCAACCATGCGCCCCCAATGGCCACGTGAAGAGGGGACCATACCCCGTTGGGGGTTGGGTGCTGAAGGGCATGGCCGCCGAGAGGAGGCCTCAAGGAGCACAAAAAGAGAGGAAAACTTCAGCAGGTGCTAGAATCAAAATTTTTAAAAGAGAGAGTCTATCATTATCTATTGCTGTGTTATAAATTACCCCAAAATTTATTGGTTTAAAAAAAGCAAACATTTGGTTTTGTGCTCCCAGCTCTTCGGGAAAGCTGCTGGTATTTCTTTACCTGGCTCTCCTCTACCTCCAGGCAGGCGCACCGGAGGTCCCCCCCTACATACGCGCACACACATACACGCACACACACACACACACACTCACAAGGCCCAGCACTGTTGCCCCAGTAGCTGACCTTTCTGCAGCTATTCTGAGCACACCTGGACACCGCTGGAGGGAGTAGGACGAGGTCGGCAGCTAAGGAGGCAGGCCGCACGTGGGGATCTCGGAAGCCCTGCGGTGCATCATGAAGTTGCAGTACAAGGAGCACCATCCCTTTAAGTATCTGAAAAAGGAAGGAGAAAATATCAGGAAGAAATATCCGGACAGGGTCCCCGAGATTGTAGAGAAGGCTCCAAAGGCCAGGGTGCCTGATCTGGACAAGAGTAAGTACCTAGTGCCCTCTGACCTTACCGGGGCCAATTCTACTTCTTTTTTTGTTCTTGTTTTTTTGAGACGGAGTCTCACTCTGTCACCAGGCTGGAGTGCAATAGTGTGATATTGGCTCAGCGCAACCTCCGCCTCCTGGGTTCAAGTGATTCTCCTATCCCAGGTACTCGGACTACAGCCATGCACCACCACGCCCGGCTAATTTTTTGTATTTTTAGTAGAGACAGGGTTTCCCCATGTTGGTCAGGCAGGTCTTGAACTCTCAACTTCAAATGATCCACCCGTCTCAGCCTCCTAAAGTGCTGGGATTACAGGTGTGAACCACCGCACCTGGCCAATTTTACTTCTTTTTTTTTCCCCCCCGAGACGGAATTTCGCTCCTGTTACCTAGGCTGGAGTGCAATGGCGCGATCTCGGCTCACCGCAACCTCTGCCTTCTGGGTTCAAGCAGTTCTCCTGCCTCAGCCTCCGGAGTAGCTGGGACTATAGGCACGCACCACCATGCCAAGCTAATTTTTTATATTTTTAGTAGAGATGGGGTTTCACCTTGTTGAGCAGGATAGTCTCGATCTCTTGACCTCATGATCCACCCGCCTCGGCCTCCCAAAGTGCTGGGATTATAGGCATGAGCCACCACGCCCGGCCCAATTCTACTTCTCAATCCAGAAGAGAACCACCTGAGACCTGAGGATGCCTTATTCTTCTTTGTCAACAACACTGTTTCTCCTGCTAATGTTCCCATGGACCAACTGTATGGGGGACAATCATGAGGAAGACTTTTCTGTATGTGGCATACAGTGATGAGAGTGTCTATGGCCTGGACTTGCAGGAAGGGGAGGGGTGTGTGCGACTTGGGGAAGGAGAGGGCAGCTCCCACTGTGAGGAGACAGAGTAAAGATATCTAGAAACATTACACTGCACACACCGTCATCACATTTTCACATGCTCAATTGATATTTTTTTGCTGCTTCCTGGACCAGGGAGAAGGCATGTCAGGACAGAGCTGTTGGACTGGCTTTGATATAGGAACGGGGATGATGTCATTTTACAGCATTCCTGAGATTTAAGTTTTGTGCAATTTCATAGAAGGGACAGGAGGTGGACAAGTTGAGGCCAGAGATGATGGCAGTCCGCAGCAATTCCCTGTGCTCCCTTCTCTTTGGGCAGAGATTCTATTTTTGACATTTGCACAAGGCAGGTTGTAAAAGGGGATTTGTGGTAGTTGACCATATCTGGGGACCAAAAGAGACACAGCATCAAGGCCCTCGATCGTCCCTGCCTCAGATTTCTTTTCTCCCAACCCAACTGCAATCTCACAAACGTCATAGTACCTCCCCGGGGGTGGCAGTAGACACCAACCCAGAAATTTAGACAGGGATCTCCTACCTTTGGAATATAGGGGTAGGCATGAGGGTGGTTATGATTAAGAAGATAGTTTTGTGGCCGGACGCGGTGGCTACGCCTTTAATCCCAGCACTTTGAAAGACCGAGGCAGGTGGATCACGAGGTCAAGAGATCGAGACCATCCTGGTCAACAAGGTGAACCCCGTCTCTACTAAAAATACAAAAATTAGCTGGGCATGGTGGTGCACGCCTGTAGTCCCAGCTACTCGGGAGTCTGAGGCAGGAGAATTGTTTGAACCCAGAAGGTGGAGGTTGCGATGAGCCGAGATTGCGCCATTGCACTCCAGTCTGGGTAACAACAGCAAAACTCCGTCTCAAAAAAAAAAAAAGAGATAGTTTTGTTATTACATAGTGTTAAACTGGAATGGACAGTGTTGAGCATCTCTGTCTAACCTGTTCTTTCTCTCTGGCGCCCCTTATCTCACCCCTACCTTAGAATTTAATAAGCCTCAGGCATTTCCAATTGCAGACTAAAACCACTCCTAGCAGCTCCTGTAGTATTTTCCATGTATCAGGACAGAGATGTCTTCTGTAGGGAAGGGGCAGGTATGAAGTAAGGCAGATTATCTACACCTCTCACTCATTCAGGATTCTCGCCCCCATGCTGCTGCCCCCTTGGTCTCACACATGCAGGAATGCTACATGATGGTGAGCTGCTGCCTTTCTTGCTTATCACCACTGCAGCAGTTAGTTAGGAAGGTTTGCAGGGATGACTTTTAGTAAATCATGGGGATTTTATTGATTTATTTTCACTTTTGGGATTTTGTGGGGTGGGAGTGGGGAGCAGGAATTGCACTCAGACGTGACATTTCAATTCATCTCCGCTAATGAAAAGGGTCCTTCCTCTTGGGGGAAATCTGTCAGTTCTGTCAGCTGGAAGTTCTTGTATAATAAAGTCAATGCCATCAGGCTAAGGAAATAAAATAATTGCTTATCTTAAAAAAAAAAAATTGCCAGGTGTGGTGGCTGGCTTATGCCTGTGACCCAAGCACTTTGGGAAGCTGAGGCAGGAGGATGGATTGCTTGAGGTCAGGAGTTCAAGACCAGCCTGGGCAACATGGCAAGACCTCGTCTCTACTAAAAATCAAAAAAATCAGCCGGGCTTGTTGGTGTGTACCTGTAGTCTCAGCTACCTGGGAAGCTAAGGTAACAGGATCACTTGAGCCTGGGGAGATCAAGGCTGCATTGAGCTGGGATGGCACCACTGCACTCTAGCCTAGAAGACAGAGCAAAACCCTGTCTCAGAAAAAATTATTTTTCATTTCTGTTGGTGAGGAATCTGGAACAGCCTAGGTGAGCATCTCTAATTGAAGGGCTCTCACAAGGTTTCAGTCTACACACTGGCTGGGACGACAGTTATCTGAAGGCTTGACTGGGGCTGGACCATCCCATCTCAAGCTCCCTTGTGGGGCTGTTTCCTCATGTGCAGCCTCTCCTCACACCATGGCAGTGGCACCCCAGGGTGCGTGATTAAGAGACAAAGAAGCAGAAGCTGCAATCTAAGCTGGGAAGTGATGTACCATCATATGCTCTTGATCATAACAGAGGGAGGGAGCTACACAAAGGTATGAATACTTGGAGGAAAGGATCACAGTGGGTGTATTAGGGTTCTCCAGAAAGACAAGCAATGGGATATATAGAAATAGAGAGGCTGGGCACAGTGGCTCATGCCTATAATCCCAGCACTTTGGGAGGCCGAGTCGGGTGGATCACGAGGTCAAGAGATCGAGACCATCCTGGTCAATGAGGTGAAACCCCGTCCCTACTAAAAATACAAAAATTAGCTGGGCATGGTGGCACGTGCCTGTAATCCCAGGTACTCGGGAGGGTGAGGCAGGAGAATTGCTTGAACCCAGAAGGCGGAGGTTGCGGTGAGCTGAGATCGCGCCATTGCACTCCAGTCTGGGTAACAACAGCGAAACTCTGTCTCAAAAAAAAAAAAAAGAAAGAAAAAAAGAAAGAACCAGAGAACCAGGAAGCCAGGAGTGTGAGTCAGTTTAAGTTCAAAAACCTAAGACATTGTTGGGGAGCAATGTGTAAGTCCTGAAGTCTGAAGGCAGAAGAACGAGTTCTGATGTCTAAGATCAAGAGAAGGGTGTCCCAGCTCAGAAGAGAGAGAGAGAAAATTCACCTTTCCTCTGCCCTTTTGCCTTATCTGGGCCCTCAGCTGATTGGATGGTACCATTCACCCTGGGTGAGGGCAGATTTTCCTTACTCAGTCTACTGATTCAAATGCCAGTCTCTTCCAAAACACACAGACATACTCAGACATAACGCTTTCCCAGCTTGGTGGGTATTTCCTAACCTAGTCAAGTTGACACCTAAATTTTTTTTTTTTTTTTTTTTTTGAGACAGACTCTTGCTCTGTCAGCCAGGCTGGAGTGCAGTGGCATGATCTCAGCTCACTGCAACCTCTGTTTCCTGGGTTCAAGAGACTCACCTACCTCAGCCTCCCAAGTAGCTGGGATTACAGCTGTGTGCCCCCACACCTGGCTAATTTTTGTATTTTTAGTAGAGACAGGGTTTCACCATGTTGGCCAGGCTGGTCTTGAACTCCTGACCTCATGATCCACCTGCTTCAGCCTCCCATGTTGAGATTACAGGCACGAGCCACTGTGCCCAGCACTAAAATTGTGTTTTTTAGAGACAGGGTCTCACTCTGTCACCCAGGCTTCACTGCAGTGGGGGATCATAGTTTACTGCAGCCTCACATTCCCAGGTTCAAGTGATCCTCCCACTTCAGCCTCCCAAACAGGTAGGACAGGCATGTGCCACTGCACCTGGCTGATTTTTAAATTTTTTGTAGAGATGGGATCTTGATACATTGCTGAGGCTGGTCTCGAACTCCTGGGCTCAAGTGAGCCTCCTGCCTCAGTCTCCCAAAGTGCTGGGATTATAGGTTTGAACCACTACACCCAGCTGACACCTAAAATTAACCATCCCAGTGGACCACCTTGGAGGCTGACTACTGCAGGGCTAAAGAGGACTTTAGGACATTTTCCTTGTGATGTGCTTTGTCATACTCCTGCAACAGCTCTTTAAGGAAACCCACATTGAGGACCTCTATGTCTGGAGAACTGGGGAGACGATCGCATTACTCGAACTAGAGGCCTGATGGACTTCTGCAACTCTTCATGCTACATAGGCTGGAAGTCTTGGATGTGACCTCTGACCCTCTTGCTCAGTTCAGCTATGACAGCCAGTTCTACTCTGCTACAACCACCGAATGTTGACTCCAGGATGCTCTGTGGATCAGTTTCCTTCAGCACTTCAAGAAAGAAGTAGGCTACAAGTTCCATTATTTCAGCTTCCCTTCAACCTCTCTGGGGTTCCTATCATCACCCTTCCCATCCCATGGATGATAATTTCCCTGGCCTACCTTTAACCATGGAAGGCTGTCAAGAAGTGCATTTATAAGGAACTGCACTTGTTCATATTGCAAGAGAAACCTGACTACTGTTGTTTATCTAGGTCAGGGATTATTTTTCTCATATATCAAGCAGTCTAGAGAGGCCGGGTGCAGTGGCTCACCTCTGTAATCCCAGCAATCTGGGAGGCCAAAGTGGGTGGATCACTTGAGGCCAGGAGATCGAGACCAGCCTGGCCAACATGGCAAAACCCTGTCTGTACTAAAAATACAAAACAGTTGGCCGTGGCGGTGCATGCCTATAATCCCCGCTACTCAGGAGGCTGAGGCAGGAGAATCACTTGAACCCAGGAGGCGGAGGTTGTGGTGAGTCAAGATTACGCCACTGCGCTCTGGTCTGGGTGACAGAGTGAGACTGTGTCTCAGAAACAAACAAAGCAACAACAACAACAAGAAGTGTAGAGATTGGTAGTAATGGCTGGTAAAGCAACTCCAGGTACAAGGACCTGGGTATTCTCTGTCTTCCTGCTCTGCCAATCTTGGTGGATGGCTCTCGTCCTCATGGTCACTTCCAGTTATCATGGCTGTATTCCAGAATAGAATATTGTTCTGCCATAAAATGTTATTGTTACTGAAATTATGTCATAGAGCATAGACAAATGAAAGATGTAACAAAGTGCATGGCAAATCACATGTGAAACATAATTCCATTTGCCTGTGGGGAATATCCGTCACTTGTCTACCAGCACACTCTCTTTCTAGGGGAAAAAGCACTTGATTCTTCTTTACAGAAATGAACCCCATGCATGGTTCAGATGGGACCTGCCATCTGCTTCCCTGATCCTTTCTCTCCATCACAGGGTCTGGTTTGGAGGTGCACACTCAATCCAAACCAAGCCGACTGCAGATCTGTGCTATCTTGACCAAGATAATTTGTCAAAGGGAGCACAGATGACTCCTGCTGAGCCAATCAGGGACCTTTCCTGGGACTTCGTAAGCTGGAACCAAAGGAAAAGGATCTCTTCCCTTCCGGAGGTGAAGACAAGAAGATGTGAGTGTGTAGACCATGGCAGCCATATTTCCTGCCAGCTGAATCGCATTTCCAGAGGGCGAGAGGAAGGCAGAGACAGGGAAGCAGACAGCAGAAGCTGGGAAACTTTTGAGAGCATTTTGAGTCCTGGGTCACTGAGGCCAGAAATAACTCTGACTTTTCCTTTTTTAATTTTTTAATTTTTTTATTGCATCTTAGGTTTGGGGGTACACGTGAAGAATGTGCAAGATTGTTGCATAGGTACACACATGGCAGTGTGATTTGCTGCCTTCCTCCCCTTCACCTGTATCTGGCATTTCTCCCCATGCTATCTCTCCCCAACTCCTTTTTCCTTAAGTTTGTTTTATGAGTCAATAAATAGTCCCTTTGTGCCTAAGATAGTTTGAGTGGTAAAGCCCAGGCATTTGCAATTCAAACATTTCCCACTAATGCACCATCATTTTTGTTTTAAGAAAAAAATTTGGCTGGGCACGGTGGCTTACGCCTGTAATCCCAGCACTTTGGGAGGCCGAGGCGGGCAGATCACGAGGTCAAGAGATCGAGACCATCCTGGCTAACATGGTGAAACCTCGTCTCTACCCAAAATACAAAAATTAGCTGGCCATGGTGGCACATGCCTGTAGTCCCAGTTACTCAGGAGGCTAAGTCAGGAGAATCGCTTGAACCCAGGAGGTGGAGGTTGCAGTGAGCCAAGATTGTGCCAATGAACTCCAGTCTGGGTAACAGAGAGAGACTCTGTCTCAAAAAAAAAAAAAAAAAAAAAAAAAAAAAATCCATATATACATATATGAATATAAATAAAGTACAGGAATACATTTTGCTCATCTGTGTTTTAAATCTTCCTTAAAGAACACATTAATTTTGGGCTGGGCGCGGTGGCTCACGCCTGTAATCCCAACACTTTGGGAGGCAGAGGCGGGTGGATCACGAGGTCAAGAGATCGAGACCGACTCGGAGCCGCGGTCACATCGAGGGACCCGCCCGCGCCTCCCGCCCCCGCCGCCGGCCCTGCCATGCAGTGAGCGCCCCGGAGGCGCCAGAGATCGCCCGCCCTGGCCCGCCGTCCGGATCCGCCGCCGCCCCCGGACCCCGACGCTCGGCCCCGGGCGCAGCTGCAGCTCAAGATGGCTCGAGGCAGCGCCCTCCTGCTCGCCTCCCTCCTCCTCGCCGCCGCCTTTTCTGCCTCTGAGGGGCTCTGGTCGCCGGACAAAGAAAAACCGAGGCTGGACCCTGAACAGCGCGGGCTACCTGCTGGGCCAACATGCCGTTGGCAACCACAGATCATTCAGCGACAAGCTTGGCTTCACCAGCAAGCGGGAGATGCAGCCTGAAGATGAGGTGAAACCAGGTAGCTTTGATAGGTCCACCGCTGAGAGCAACGTTGTGCGCACGATCGTTGAGTTCCTGTCTTTCCTGCATCTCAAAGAGACCGGGACCCTCGACGGCCTCCCTGATGTCCCGGCCGCAGCCTCCCTGGATGAAACCGAGCGTTCCTGAGAGCCTTCTGGGCGTGTTTGTGTGTTGTAATCTCAAATCAAACCTTAAAATGGTGGATGATAATCTAGCCCAATTTACGCAGAGTCAGCTCTTCTTGTTCTCTTACCCCTGATGCCGTGTTTTTATCACTTAAGATTTTCTTTGGTGTTTTATTTTGAGTGGCAAAATAAAGAATAGCAATTAAAAAAAAAAAAGAGAGAGATCGAGACCATCCTTGTCAACATGGTGAAACCCCGTCTCTACTAAAAATACAAAAAATTGGCTGGGCATGGTGGCGCGTGCCTGTAATCCCAGCTACTCAGGAGGCTGACGTTGCGGTGAGTGGAGATCGCACCATTATGCTCCAGCCTGGGTAACAAGAGTGAAACTCCGTCTCAAAAAAAAAAAAAAAAAGTTTGCAGGCAATATGCTATGCTGGTTTTGCTTTTTACTTTTTTGAGAAAACAATTCACTAGATAAAATTCAAACTTTTCAAGTGTACAGTTCAGTTTTTTTTAAGACAGAGTCTTGCCCAGGCTGGAGTGCAATGGCCTCCGCCTCCTGAGTTCAAGCAATTTTCCTGCCTCAGCCTTCCAAGTAGCTGGGATTACAGGCTATGTCTGTATCCCAAAATTGGCATGATGTCCAGCCAATTTTTGTATTTTTAGCAGAGGCAGGGTTTCACCATGTTGGTTAGGCTGGTCTCGAACTCTTGACCTCCAGTGATCCACCTGCCTCAGCCTCCCAAAGTGCTGGGATTACAAGTGTGAGCCACCACGCCCAGCCCAGTGTTTTAAAATTTATTCCTAATGTTGTGCAATCATCACCAGGATCTAATTCCACAACATTTCTATTGCCCCAAAAGGAAACTTTGTATCCATTAGCAGTACCTCCCAATTACCGGCTTCTCCCAGCCCCTGGCAAACACTACTCTACTTTCTGTCTCTATGGCTTTGCCTATTCTGGACATTTTACACAAATGAAATCACACAACATGTGGCCTTTTGCATCTGGCTTCCTTCACTTAGTGTGACATTTCAAGGTTTCTCCATGTGGTAGTATGCACAGTTTCAACCTCCAGGGCTCCAGCGATCCTCCCACTTCAACCTCCCAAGTAGCTGGGACTACGAAGGGGTGCACATCACCACACCTGGCTAATTTTTTTTTTTGAGACAGAGTTTCGCTCTTGTTACCCAAGCTGGAGTGCAATGGCGCGATCTCGGCTCACCGCAACCTCCGTCGCCTGGGTTCAGGCAATTCTCCTGCCTCAGCTTCCTGAGTAGCTGGGATTACAGGCACGCACCACCATGCCCGGCTAATTTTTTGTATTTTTAGTAGAGACGGGGTTTCACGATATTGACCAGGATGGTCTCGATCTCTTGACCTAATCTCGTGATCCACCCACCTCGGCCTCCCAAAGTGCTGGGATTACAGATGTGAGCCACCGCGCCTGGCTGTATTTTTTTTAGTAGAGATGAGTCCTCACCATGTGGCCCAGACTGGTTTCAAACTCCTGGGCTTAGATAATCCTCCTGCCTCAGTCTCTGGAGTAGCTGGGTAGCTGTGACCACAGGCATGAGCCACTGCACCCAACTGAATGTACCATTTTTGTTTATCCATTCATCAGTGAATGTGGGAGCTTACATTTTAAATACATACTCTGATTCAGTGGGTCTAGGATGGGGCTTGTGATTGTGCTTTTCTAACAAGTTCCCAGGTATTGCTTAAGAAACTGCTGGTTCAAGGACCACACTTCGAGTAGTGAAGATTTAGACACTTAAGTCTATGATTTAGACACTTAAGTCTATATTTTAGAGCACAGTGATTTAAGATATCAATGTAGGCTGGGCGTGGTGGCTCATGCCTGTAATACCAGCACTTTCGGATGCAGATTGCCTGAGCTCAGGAGTTCGAGTCTGGCCTGGGCAACACGGTGAAACCCCATCTCTATTAAAATACAAAAAAATTAGCCGAGTGTGGTGGTGTGCGCCTGTAATCCCAGCTACTTGGGAGGCTGAGTCAGGAGAATCACTTGAACCCAGGAGGCAGAGGTTGCAGTGAGCTGAGATCGCACCACTGCATTCCAGCCTGGAGAACAGAGCAAGACTCTATTTCCAAAAAAAAAAAAAAAGGATATCAATGTAGTCATGAACATGGAACATAGTGGTTAAACAAACTCATACATATACACACTTTATTTTTAAACAAGCAGGAATGAAACCATGCTGTTGATATTATTTAGTAACTTGCTTATTTAACTTAACTATATTTATGAACATAATGATTCATGCAAACAAATCCACAAAAGCATCATGACTCAGCAGATCTAAACACAACCAAACTGATTCCCAGCCTGGGCTCTGTTGAAACACTCCATTACATTTCCTTTATCAAGGCTAACGAGGTATTGATTTTTTTTGAGAAGGAGTCTAGCTCTGTCACCCAGGCGGGAGTGCAGTGGTGCAATCTCTGTTCACTGCAACCTCTGCCTCCTGGGTTCAAGCGATTCTCCTGCCTCAACCTCCCCAGTAGCTGGGATTATAGTCGCCTGCCACCATGCCCAGCTAATTTTAGTATTTTTTACTAGAGATGGGATTTCACTGTGTTGGTCAGGCTGGTCTCAAACTCGGGCTCAAGTGCTCCTCCTGCCTCGGGCTTTCAAAGTTCTGCGATTATAGGCATGAGCCACCAGGCCTGGCCCTGTATCCAACTCACGTTATGTGCCATTACGAATCCTGCATTTGCCTTGCATTCTAGTCAGAATTCTAGCAATGACTTGGTCTGTGGTGGCTACTCCAGGCTCCTCATCTCACATGAGGGCATGACACGGCAACACCTGGCCTTGTCCCAGCATCTCGGCTCCTGTTTTCCTGCCATGTAGGTTTCCTGTTGCTATGGCTATGAGACGCCCTGTGGACCATCTGAAAACCCATGGATGCACAGTGGCTTACCCTCCAGGCTGGTGCTTGGCCATAGAGGCGGACACTGCTGTCTTGGATTCTGGCTTTCTCCCCTTGCTAGAGGAGTTGGGCAGCTCAACTCATAAAAGAAGAGGAGTCGACACCCCGAGGGTAGCCTCTAGAGAAATGTTTTCCTCTCCTTTCCCCTCCCCACCCGGGCCTCTCCCTGTCATTCTACAGACTGTGCAGAGATGCAGCAGCTTACTCTGGCTTCTGGGACTTGCTTCCCCTATGCAAGCTCAACTGCTTCATCTAAGAGTGAGCTTGCCTAAGCTGTGGCCAAGACCGTCTAGCATGCTTCGGTGTTGACTCATCCTCATGTTTGACTTCTTCCCCGTTTCCCTTCACTTTTGCCTCCCTGGGATTCTACACTCTGGTAAACTATTACTCTGTAAGCTTTGCCTCAGGCTCTGTTTTTTAAGGAACCCAGGCTAAGACACCAACCCAACTGACACATTTTGGGGGAATGTGGTCATGTACCAATGCAAATAGGGAAAATAGAAGGGGTGTGAAAAGAGAGAGATGTCAGAATCAGGACTTAATAATTTTTTTCTTTTTTTTTGAAACGGAGTCTTGTTCTGTCTCCCAGGCTGGAGTATAATGATGCACTCTCGGCTCACTGCAACCTCTGCCTCACAGGTTCAAGCAATTCTCCTGCCTCAACCTCCCAAGCAGCTGAGATTACAGGCTTGTGACACCACGCCTGGCTAATTTTGTATTTTTAGTAGAGATGGGGTTTCACCATGTTGGCCAGGCTGGTCTCAAACTCCCGACCTCAGGTGATCTGCCCACCTTAGCCTCCCAAAGTGCTGGGATTACAGGCGTGAGCCACCGTGCCCGGCCAAGACTTAATAGTTTTTTACTCACAAAAGGCAGTAGATATAGAAGCTCTCTTTATGCTCAGATACAACAGCTACTATCTGCCATTAGAAGGAAAGAGTGGGCCGGGAGCGGTGGCTCAAGCCTGTAATCCTGGCACTTTGGGAGGCCGAGGCGGGTGGATCACGAGGTCAAGAGATCGAGACTGAGACTATCCTGGGCAACATGGTGAAACCCCGTCCCTACTAAAAATACAAAAAATTAGCTGGGCATGGTGGTGTGTGCCTGTAATCCCAGCTACTCAGGAGGCTGAGGCAGGAGAATTGCCTGAACCTAAGAGGCGGAGGTTGCGGTGAGCTGAGATCGTGCCATTGCACTCCAGCCTGGGTAACCAGAGCGAAACTCCGTCTCAAAAAAAAAAGAAGGAAAAAGTGGCTCCAACATGTGACTTCTTAGAGATTAATTGTAATAATAACAATGAATGGTAATAACAGCTCCTTTGACCTAGCATTTCCACTTCTAAGAATTTATCCTAGAGGCACTTATGAATGTACACAAAGATGTGTATACAAGATAGTATTACATTGTTAGTCATATGTTTGTAGTAATAAAAGAGTAGAACAGTCAGGCCTGGTGGCACACACCTGTAGCCCCTGCTATTCAGAAGGTTGAGATGGAAGAGTCCCCTGAGCCC